TGATGTTAACTTTGGATTTTTCATAGATGCCCTTTTTCTTCTCTTGCTACTTTCTCGTCTTTTTTTTGGTTTGCAGAATATTTTCAGTATTCCATTCTGTTTCCTTCATTGGCATTTTCATGATACCTCTTTTTTGGTGTGCGTGCTCAAGGGCTGACCATATGCATTCTTATCAGTAAGTCTGCTTCGAGGTAATATGCCACTCCTTCACACTTCATGCCCTTCTACTTCATACCTAACACTTCATATTTCACACACTCCTCTTCCCACTTCACAAATGTAATAACCTCACAATACTATAATTCTGTCTGACCTCTTCTTTATGCTTTTTTAGTTATATTTTTAAATTCTATTTATACTATTAACTGCACCTTGCTAGTATTTTTGCTTTAAATACTAGTTGTCTTTAGTTGTAATTAATTGTCTTTTAAGGAAAAAATGAGAAGAAAAAGCAATCTTTCTATTTAGGCAATTATTTACCGTTTCCCGTGTTCTTCATTCCTTCCTATAGATACATATTTTCCTTTGGTATCGTTTCCCTTTGGCATGATGGACATTGTTAGAATTACATGTAGTATAGATCTTCTAGTGATGAATTCTCTCAGCTTCTGTTTGTCTAAAAATGTCCTTTTTGCACACTCATTTTGAAAATATTTTTGCTGGATATTTAAATCTTTTTTTCTTGTCAGTACTTTATAGACGTATTCTGTTTTCTTCTTGCCTCCATTGTTTCTAATTAGAATCCAGCCGTCATTCATATAATGGTTTCCTGGTGTGTAATGTGTCCTTTTTCTCTAACTTCTTTATTTTCCTTGTATTTGTTTTACAATAGTTTGATGTGCCCAAGTATGACTTTCTTTTATTTATCCTGCTTAGGATAGTCTAAATTCCTTGTAGCTAATTTGATGTTTTTTGTTAAATTTGGGAGAATTTTAGCCACTATTACTTTTTTTTCTTTCTTTTTTTTTTCTTTTTTTTTTTGACCTATTCTCATTCTCTTCTCCTTCTGGGTCTCTGATTATATGTGTGCTAGACTATTTGTTATTTTTTTCCTATGTTTTTGAGAATCTCTTTATTTTTCTGCAGATTTTTTCTCTTTTTTCTTCAGATTAAATAATTGGTATTGGTATATCTTCAAGTTCACTGACCTTCTTTCTTCTACCTCTAATTTTCTATTAAGCCCATCCATGAATTTTTTGTCTCAATTAGTATACATTTTAAGTTATAGAATTTCCATGTGGTTCTTTTTAATAGTTTCCTTTTTTTTTTTTACTCATTGAGACTATGTTTTTCTTTAAGTCTTTGAATATATGTCTAATACTTGCTTTAAAGTCTTTGCTAATCCAACATCTGGTATCTTCAAGTCACAAGATTACAATTTTTTCTCGACTATGACAACATTTTTCTTCACTATTGACCACATTTTTTTCTTGACTATGATTCATATTTCTCCATTTACTTACATTAGTAGCAATTTTTCGGTTTTACACTGAATATGGTGAATGATATGTTGGAGAGACTGGATTCTCTTATCTTCATCTGAAGCTTGTTGGCAATTCAGTATCTAGCTGACTACCTTGTACTTGTGTACATTTTTTTTTTAATTTGTTAAGTCACTTTTGTGAAAATCCCTAGGTGTTTCCTAAGCCCTTCTAACTTGGTAGGTCTCAATCTCTATGTTTTTTCACTCCTGCAGGTCTTGTCAAGACACAGAGTTATACTGCGGTAGGGAAGCTGTAGAAAAGGCCTACTCTTGGCCAGGGTCTTCACTGCTACAGTGTGGCCTTTCTGGTGTCTCAGCTGGATGCCTGGAGTGTTAAGAGGTGTCCTTATTCTGATTGGGAGAGAACTCCAAAGTCTCCCAGAATTGCCCTGATCTCTAGTATCGTGTATCTGCTTCCAACCTAGTAGCAGCTACTCTCTGGCATTCCTTTGGAGTCTCGCCTCATGTATGCCCAGCCCAGGCTCACGCAAGAATTCATAACGAACGCAGATGTCTGGTTCTCCTCTCTGTATACTTCCTTGCTGGAGCATTTCCTTGGAGTTCCAGCTCTTTTGGCATCCCTAAACTCTGATCCCTGCTTCCTCAGCTCAACAGGACTATCATTCATTGCTTGGGCTTCAGCAAACTGCTATGGTCAGAAAATTCTGCCCAGGTAAAGAAGTAAGGAAATCAAGAGTCCCACCTCATACCTTTTCTTTCTGTCAAGGATCACAATCTTGGTCTGCCTGTTGTCTATTGCTTCATATATTTTTTTCAGTTTTATAGTTGTTATGGAGAGGGGCTAGTCTAGTACCAGGTACTTGTCATGACTGAAGGCAGAGATTCCTATAATTTAAATTTAATAAACAATATAAATTATTAAAGAATCTCAACCTGCCCAGGAGAGAGGATAGGAAGATAGAGGGAAAATGAAGTGAGAAAAATGTAGAGAGTAATAGGATGGAATAGAGAAAGTGGAAAGAAATTAGATACTTGTCCCACTCGTCTCAGTTTTCAATATATTGTGTAACGTGATTTTAACAAGTATTTATTAGATGTGACCTGGGCCAGGTACTGTGGTAAGTGACATAAGTTAAGTTTATAATGGTTAATAAGGTCCTCTTCATATTTCAAGGCCTAATAAAGGAAATATGCTCACATAAAAACAATCACAATAAAATATGTTTGGGGCTCAAATAGATATTTGCATAAAGTTTTATTGAGCACAAGGAAATTGATTCTGCTTGATTGGGAAAGGTTTCACACAGGAAGTGATATTTGAATTTGACCTTAAATGATGCGTAAGAGTTTATTTATTAGAGCGTGTACTGGGGGAGGAGGGGAGGCTGGTAGATAAAGCATTTCAGACAAAGTCAACAGTGTGAAGGTCATTTGAATGCATCAGGGACTGTGTTTACCTTTATGCCAGCAACAGAAAAGAAGCTTGATGTGTAAATCAAAATTTCAGTAGACATTAATTGTGCCACAATAATCAGTTGCATAGGGACTGGGTACAGGGAAATTACTCATCATTATTTCTCAAAAGTTTCATTGAATTAGGTTCCTTTGCATGGGAACCTAAAAGTCTGCATTCTCCTGCAGACTAATTGCAAGTTGCATTAGAAATATCCAATACAATTATATTTCCCCGCCAGGAGTAGAGTAGATAGTCAAGGAACATTATCTCTTTAAGAACAAGTGACATGAATAGATAATTTGCTCTAGATATTTGATTTACTGGCAAAGCTTCTGAATGTGGGGGTGGTCAATGAGTCTATCGGTTCTGTCAGCTCAGGGAGCCTGGGTCATAGCCTTCATTTAATGTCCATTTGATCCATGAATTTTAATGTTAGTACTCATTACTGGGTCTGAAATACTTAATATTCTACCTCTACTCCCCCTTCTCTCTCTGTACCCATCTTCCTCCCTCCTCTGCCTTTCCCTGCCTTTTCCCTTCCTTCTTTCCTTGACTTTGAAGAAATATCTTAGCAGACTATAGAAAAGTATAGAAAAGTATACAGTATTCGTCTTTGAAATTAAATATCATTGTCGATGCCTTCAATGAAGTGAAGCCTTGATTGCTTGCTGTTTGAAGTAGAGTAAGCCAGATATTTGGTGAACACCTGTTACTCAGGGCTATGCATAGGTAGTAGAACCTGTGATATTTTCTGTGCATCTCTGTACTCTCGGTACCAGTGCTTCCTCTTTTCTTTTCTGACTATAATTATACAGCAGCAACTAGGGAAATAGCACGCCTAAACATCCTCCTTTTCTTTTTTTTACTCACGATAAAGTATAATAGTTCATTCTTCCCCAAAACCTTTTGGTCAGAGACTTATGTGTACTCCTAGACTCTAGATTTATGTTATTACTGGATACGATTGAAGATACATTAAAAATGCATTGAAACCAGATAGTCTTTGGAAAATATCCCAGATTTGGAGGGCATGAGATTGAGTGGGTCGGTTAGTAAATATAGAGTCTGAAGGACTGAATAGGTCCTAAAGGAAAACAGTTAATATTTATTTAAGACATAAAATTGTCTAAGTACTATCTAAATGTTTTATATGAGTGATCTAATTTATTCCTCATATTTTATGCTCTGCTTTTCTTACACTTTTCTATTCTATTTTGACACCAAATGATAATTACTACCATTTATGGAGCATGCACCGTGTGCCAAGCCCTCTAATTGCATGTGTAAATCACAATTTCAGTAGAGATTAATTGTGCCACAATAATCACTTGCATATGGACCAGGTACAGGGAAATTACTCATCATTACTTCTCAAAAATTTCATTGAATTAGGTTCCTTTACATGGGAACCTAAAAGTCTGCATTCTCCTGCAGACTAATTGCAAGTTGCATTAGAAATATTCATTATAATATAATATAATATAATATAAATTATATTTCCAGCCCTTACATGTATACTCAAAGATAGTTACCATCTCCATTTTAGAGATGAGGCTCAGAGAGGTGAAGTAACCTGCCCAAGGTTGCATAGCTTGTCAGTTTTTGAGCTGGGCGTTGGTTCAAGGTCACTCTGATCCCTTAGTCTCATTTCCTATTCTTTACCACATGGCTGAGGTACCTGCTTTGTCATTTCTCATAAATGCATGACTTGGGGAAAACCATTTTAAAGGAGGTTTATAAAAAGGAGGACAGACTGAATTATTTCTAGGCCCCCTCTACGATTTCTGTATTTGAGCCTAATTTTTAATGTTCATGATAATTTGAATGGATTAGGAAAATTATAACCCTTCCAAGTACTAAAAGGTTGTAATATACGTAACAATTTCTACTACTAGCTTAGGTTTACTATTAATAATTGTTTTAGCATTTGAGATTTCGAAAACTTTGTTTCAAAAGGAAATCAGTGTTTGAACATTCCAGATTGGCCTGTTGAAAATCAAGCACATTGGCACAAATGAATGAAGTTTATATTCCTGAATGTCTTATAAACGTAACATAATATTTTCTATTTTCTCTCTTGTGTTCCATTTCTTTTCATAGCATGCTTGGAAGACTATACAAATGAATCTGGGACATTGACTTCTCCAAACTTCCCCAGTAATTACCCCAACAATAGGAAATGCATTTATAGGATCACGGTGGCAACCAGCCAACAGATTGCCTTGCATTTCACAAACTTCTCCTTGGAGGAAGCCATTGGTGGAGAATGTATAGCAGATTTTGTGGAAATCAGGTAAGCACCTTTACGTGTGTAGCTTAATGACGGGGATAAGTTCTGAGAAATGTGTTATTAGATGATTTCGTTGTTTGTGTGAACATCACAAAGTGTACTGAAGGGAACAAAATTTGCCACCCCAAAATGTGTCTCTTTAACTTGAGGATTATTTTAGGCTGATTTTTTTTTTGCTGAAGAAGATTTGCCCTGAGCTAACATCTGTAGCCAATCTTCCTTTAGTCTGTATGTGGGTTGCCACCACAGCATGGCTGACGAGTGCTGTAGGTCCACACCTAGGAACCGAACTTGGGCTGCTGAAGTGGAGTGCACAAAACTTAACCACTAGGCCACGGGGCCAGCTGATTACTTGTTAAGAAACAAGACTCAGGAAGTTTTTCATGTTACCTCCCCCTTAACTGCCTAAAAGAATTCAGATTAAAAAACCTGCCTCAGGAAGTGAGCTGTCACCTTAGCATCACATGAACTAGGTGGTAGACAGGGAGGAACCTAGAACAGCCTGTTTATTGGGCTCCTCGTTTTGTTCTTCTGTTTCTATGTGGGCAAACACTTGTTTTCCAAACGTTTGCTCCTTTTCACCTACCTGTGAATTGCCTTCCTTCCCTTTGAAGTCCTGACTCTCCCCACCCCTCACATCTTCTTTTGTCTCTAGCTGATGCCAGTATTTAAGGTGAGGGCTTCAGTCATTTTGGCAAGTTACTCAGTTTTCCTGTGTTTCTGTCATGTATACGTGTTATTAAACTTTTGTTTGTTTTTCTCCCATTAATCTGACTCATGTTAGTTTAATTCTTAGGCCAGTCAGAGGAACCTAGGAAGGTAGAGGAAAATTTCTTCCTCCCCTACAGCACTTACACAAACCTAGATGGTATAGCCTAGTACACACCTAGGCCCTATGGTTCTAATCTCATGAGACTCCTGTCGTGTGTGTGTTCCGTCATTGACTGAAATGTTGTTATGCAGTGCAAGACTGTATTTCATCATAATCTTTTTCATTATTTATTTTTATTCATAATCATTCCTGGAAAGGCTAAGGAAAAAATATGGAAATTCTCTGTAAAGCTCCCTGTTGTCCTTTTTCTTACAAGATACAAAGTTTGTTGTTTGGAGCCTGACAACAGAAGAAAAACAGAAAATTGCATGAGATTCAGTGGTTATTTTTAAGTGATTATTTTATTGGGAATATTTGAAAATAAACTCCAGATTTAATTGGGCTGAATAAACAGATGTATTACTACTCTGAAAGTAGATACTTGCAATTGTTGAATACCTACTTTCTTTATGTAAATCAATTTAAATTTTGTGCTTTTCACTGTCCATTTAGTCTAATTATGTCACAAAAATGATGGTAAGCTACCAACCTTGTCTTAAAGTTTTTTGTGTTCATATAATAAAAGTTTAGGCTTGTGAATTTCAGTACAAGACATTTTTTCTTTAATTCTTTGGTACTTTGAAAGAATGAGTTGAAAAAGTTATATTTGCAGTAAAGCTAAGTAAACATATTGATATATATTATATATTGCCCTCTCCCCAGATTACTACATTGAGTTAAACTAGGCTAATCAATTTGGTGTGCATCTGTGTCAGGTTTTTTATTCAGTATTTCAAAAGCCTGGAATCTTATACTATTTTATAATAAATTTTATTCTATGATCTAAAGTAAGGTACTAAAATAATAAGTCATAATTGTACCATATCATGCTAAAATAACTTAATTTTCTTAATTTACAGTAATTAATCATTGGACTTTAATGTTGAGTGAATCCTTTTTTTTTTTAGGCTTGAAAAAGCTACAGATTAAAACTAGACTTACGACCCCAAAAGTTCTTAGGGAATGAATTATTTTAAAAATTTTATTAATATGTCAAATATGATATATTAAATTTTGAAAATTTTCAAATTAGAAGGAAAACATTTAAGTTTTCTCTGTAAAATTAAGCAAAATTTGTTTATACTGTTAATAATTATTGTTTCTTTATCCTGTGTTGTCTGACGCCAGATGCTTTATTTCACGGGAGATTAAACACTTTCTCTCAGTTTGCAATTGGTTATATAAAATGTCATGCCAACCAGAACTGATGTTTTTCTTTATTAAGTTATTCAAATACTATTTAATAAAGTGAAAAATTGAAAACTTGCAATTGTGGTTTTTTTAGAGTATTTTTGAGAGAGGTTGACTGACATAAACTGATCTGTTTGCAATCTCGAAGTTCCAATAATGTTAAATGTTTATACAGTAATATTATCAATAACCTAATAAATGATCACATGTATATTTTATCACAGAGATGGAGGCTATGAAAATTCACCATCCGTGGGAAAATACTGTGGCTCAGAGCTACCTCCAAGAATCATCTCTCACAGTAACAAACTGTGGTTAAAATTTCAGAGTGACTTCTTTGACACAGGGCCTGGATTTTCAGCTTACTGGGATGGATCATTAACAGGTAAATAGCTAAAAGCTGCCTTTTATTGGAGAGTCCAGTCTGATTTGTTTCTTGATTCCTGGATTGCCATGCTCTTGTCCAATTTTTTTCAGCTGTATTTTGTTATTACTATTTGTAATGAACTTCAACATTGCAAATATTTTTGAGTGAACAGCAGCCATTTTGATTTTGTTTTTGAAGGACAAAGTAAGGGAAAATGTTCTAGTGCCCTGGTATATTTCATCAAAGTGGTCATCTTGGTTAGGAAAACGAAAGGACGTGGATGTGAATTAGGATTGTAGGCTAGCTACTCTTTGGTGATACAGTTTTGTTTTGCAGCTTGGTTTACAGGGAAGTAACAGTTGCACTATATTTGATATAGACAAGAAGATTCAATTTCACCAGAAAGAAAAGGCAATGCCTCATTCCATCTCTTTCTTCTGTAGGTTGTGGGGGCAATCTCACCACTCCCACTGGTACGTTCACATCTCCCAACTACCCCATGCCCTACTACCACAGCTCCGAATGCTACTGGTGGCTGAAAGCTAGCCACGGCAGCCCATTTGAACTGGAATTTGAAGACTTCCACCTGGAGCCCCATCCCAACTGCACTTTAGATTATCTGGCTGTATGTATCAAGTTTCAGTTGTGTCATTCGCGGCTCCCATCTCGCCCAACATGCATAAATGCATTTATTTTTATTTTTGAGATTCAGGAAAGGGGAACAGTTAAACAAAACATCCACATAAAAAATTTAAACAAAATAACACTTTTTTAAAAGTTTGATGAGGGCCGGCCCTGTGGTGCAGTGGTTAAGTGCGTGTGTTCCACTGCTGGCGGCCCAGGGTTCCGATCCCGGGTTCGCACTGATGCACCACTTGTCAGGCCATGCTGTGGCGGCATCCCACATAAAGTGGAGGAAGATGGGTACAGATGTTAGCCCAGGGCCAGTCTTCCTCAGCAAAAAGAGGAGGATTGGTGTGGTTGTTAGCTCAGGGTTGATCTTCCTCAC